CCCGCGCACCCTGCACCCCACAATACACACCCCCCGCGCTCTGAAAATCCACACCGTGTACCCTGTACCGTGCGCCTCCCACCCTGCACCCCTGCAGCCTGCAAAAACGCACCCTGAACCCCACACCATGCACCCTGCACCCTGCAAATCCACACCCTGCCCCCCCGCACCCTACACCTTGCACCCCGCACCCTGAAAATCCACACCCTACACCCTGCACCCCGCACCCTGAAAATCCACACCCTGCACCCCACTCCCTGCAGCCCACACCCCACACCATGTACCCCACACCCTGCTTACCCTGCATCCCAAACCATGCACTCCACAACCTCCACCCCATACCCCACACCTGCACCCCGCATCATGCAAATCACAACCTGCCCCCCAAACCATGCGCCCCACGCCATGGAACCCACACCCTGCACCCCGCAGTACACACTCTGTACTTTGCACCCCACAGTCATAGAATCATAGATGGTTAGAGCTGGAAGGGACCTTAGAGATCACCGAGTCCCAACCCCCTGCCCTGGGCAGGGACACCTCCCACTAGAGCAGGTTGCTCAAAGCCCCATCCAGCCTGGCCTTGAACACCTCCAGGGATGGGGCACCCACAACTTCTCTGGGCAACATGTTCCAGTGTCTCACCACCCTCACTGTAAAGAATTTCTTCCTAATATCTAATCTAAACCCACACCCTGCACCCCACACCCTGCACCCTGCAAACCCACACTCCGCACCCCTCACCATGCACCTCACACCCTGCATCCCAAACCATGCACTCCACACTGTGCACCTCGTACCCTGCACCCTACAATCCACACCTTGCACCCCACACCCTACACCCTGCACCCTGCAAATCCACCCCCTGCACCCCACACCGTGTACCCTACACTATGCACATCACCCCCTGCATCCCAAACCATGCACTCCACACCATGCACCTTGCACTCCGCAATCCACACCCTGCACCCCACACTCAGCACCCTGGTCCAGGGCCAGGCAAACCAGCCAGGAGGGGCTGTGGGGGGACCCAGGGGCAGGGATGGGCTCCCCAGGGATGGTCCCCTGCGGTGCCCCAACTCTGGGTGCTGGGTCAGTAGGGGCATCCCCTAAACAGGGGTTGACCCGCAGCTGCCCGGGAGTGCAAGTGCTCAGGGGAACACATGTTCTCCCAAGGGCTGGGTGTTTTTGGGGTGAGTCACTGGTGTAAGCCTCCCCCCCACCATTGCTGGTCCCCTGCCTTGGCGCTGCCCAGCCTTCACAGAAAACAAGGCACAAGCCCTTGCTGCCACGTTGGGGACCAATGTCCCTGAGTGACAGTGCTGCACAGGGGTGCTGGGAGCTGGCATGGTGGGGGGCAGACCCCAGCTGCCTGCCACCCCAGTGGAGGAAGAGCCTGGGCACATCTAGGGGATGGGATCCCTGGGCTTGGCACAGATCAGGGTGGCTCCTGCCCTTGGCTGTGTCCCCTGAATGGGCTGGGTGTGACAGTGGGGTTTTGGGTTTCCATCAGCGCTCCTGCATCATTTCCCAGCAGGATCCTGTTTTCCCAACGGTGAGTGTGTGGTCTTAGGAGGGACGTGGCAGCCTGTGAGCAGTGCATTGGGACTCAGGTGCTCGGTGCCAGCTGGATTACCACCTCCTGAGTCACCAGCGTGGGCACCCTGTTAGCAGGAGACTCCGTCCGTGTCCTGGGGACTGGAAACTGGCGGTTCTGCTGCCCCTGACCCCAGGACCTGCCGTGCTGGGAGCTCATGACAGCCCTGGATTTATGCTGCCAGCCCCCAGCACCTGCCTCTCCCCCCTCAGAAGGGGACGAGCCCCCCCACCCCCTGGCACCCCACTAGTAGACAGCTGGAGGGTCTCCATGTCAACCACAGCCACCACAGCAAAACACAGGGCCAGCGCCCCACTGGGACGGGTCCAAGCCGGGAGCAGGCACCCAGCCCCTTGGCTCAGAGATGTCCCTGCCACCAAAGGGATGTGGCTGTTAGGCAGCCATCCCCCGGATCCTCCCACCAGCATCACCCCCCTGCTGCTGCAGGCACCCAGCTCAGGGCCGGGTGCTGCCTGGTGGTCCCCAGACCATTCCTCGGGGACATCTGGGGACATTTGCAGCGTGGGTGCCTGGAGCCCACGGCCCCCCCAAGCTGGTGACGGGTGGGTGCCCACAGGACGTGGGTGGCTGGGGCAGATGGGTCCTGGGGCGGGGGGTGTGTGGGGTGGGTGCTGGAGTGGGGGGTGCCTGGATCTGGGGTGGCCAGAGCAGGGGGTGAGTGGCAGTGCCGAGTGTGGCCCTTGGCCAGCCCAGTGAGCAAAGGGCAGAGCCATGGCATGCCACAGCTATTCCCGGAGCAGCGGGTCTTCCAGAAAAAGCTCCCGCTGGCTATTTCTGGGTGGGCTCTGACTCACCCCTGGCTGGATGCCGGGGGCTGCACAGCACCTGCCACGGCCACCCCCCACCCTGTCACCGCCATGCTGGGAAGGCACTGCTCCTGTTCCCATCCCTCTCTGCCCCACGGACCCCTCGGTGCAGCAGGGAGCCAAAGGCAGCCCCCCAGAACCTGCACCAGCTCCTTCTCGGTGTGTTTTCACCCCGCTGCTGGGCTCATGTGTGTGCCCAGGGGTGCCTGGCAGGGGCAGAAGCAGACACTGTGCCCCCTCCCACATCCCCTGGCAGCCCAGGGTGAGGTGCCATGCAGGCTTTGCTCTGGGAAGCGTTCCCTGGGGCAGCGGGTGGCTCTGTGGATGGGCAGCCAGAGCTGAGCCCTGCTGGAAGGGGTTAATGGAGACAACGTCCCAGGACAGAGCCTGTAAACACAGCCAGAGCTCCAAGGAAGTGCCGCCCCCTTGTTCCTCTGCCTGGACCCCCTCCCTGCCCGCCCTGCCAGGATGAGTGCAGGGATGGCACCCATGGAGACAGCTCCCCCCAATCCCGGCCCACGTGTCTGAGCATGGGAAAGTGAAGTCACTGCCCGGGCATTGCTGGAGGCTGAGCGAATGGCCACCATGCCTTACATGAGCCGCCAGTGATGCAGCGGGTAACCGCTACCTCATCTCACTGGCATGGGTGATGCTATCGAGGCCTGCGGGAGGGAAGACAGCCACCCCAGCATCCTCATGGACCACGAGGGCGGCCAGTCATCCCTACGTCCACGTGGACCATGAAGGCAGCTGGGGACCTCCGGGATCCCCATGGCCACAGGGGCAGGTGAATGTCCCCAACCTGGCCCTGGGCTGCAGGGATGGGTGAACACCCCCAGCATCCCCCCGGATCACAGGGCTAGCTGGAGATAATGAAGGGGGCAGGCATATGCCTCGAACATCTGCATAGACATGGAGGTAGCTGGTCTCCCCCAGCAACTGCATGGCACTGGGGGCCACAGGTCATCCCCTGCATCCTCATGGACCATGGGAGCAGCAACTTACCCCAAGGACTTACATAGACCTGAATTCAGGGATAGTTGAACACCCCCAGTATCCACACGTGCCGTAGGGGCAGCCAAACACCCTCAGCATCCCTGTGCCACTCAGAAACAGGCCATCATCCCCAGCATCCCCACCACCCAGGGACACAGTTGTGGGGGGGACCATGGGCAGCCAGACAGGTTGTGCGCCCACGCTGCCGGCCCTGAGCCCTGGGTTGGGCAAAGGCATGGGGGCAGTTGGGGTGAGCAGCAGGTTGGAGGGGGAGCTGCATCCTGCAGGGCACCCACCAGCTCCTGGGACCCCATTGGGCCGTCCTGGGCTACGGTCCAGGCAAAGAAGGAGAACTATCTCCTATTTAGACAATAGCACGCGCCCTGGGTCCGTCAGCGCCGGGGAATGGACCTCACGGTCCTTCCCTCTTAGGGTAAAGGCGCCTGGGAGGCTCGTGGCTGTAAAAGGAGCGGGATGGAGGAAGACGGCCAGGGGCCAGGAAGGAGGGGGATGGACAGCCTGTCTGCTTCATTCCCATCCCTCGGCTCACCCCTGAGCCAGGGCCAGGCGTGGGGGGGGGGCACAAGGGCCCTGGTGGCAGGGTATGGGGCCGAGGAGAGGCCAGTACCCCGTCCCCGCATCCTGCCCGGCTCCAAGCCCCAAGATGCCCGCAGCCTGGGGAGGCTGTCCCCGGGCAGCTTAAATCCTGGGGGAGCAGCGGGGAGGGAGGGCCAGGGAGGAGGGGCGGCTGCGGGATGCAGCTGGCTTCACTCACGGAGATGTCACGACCGGAGGGAGTTGTTTGACATTCCAGCTCCCAACGCCTTCCCGGCAGCAGCCTCATCCTAGGGCCCAGTGGGAGCTTGGGGGCTGCTTCCCAGGCTCCGCTGGTCTGGGTCAGGCTGGCCTGGGATGGAGCCTCGGGGAGGCTGACTGGGGCCGGGCAGGGGGGGAGGCAGCATCCCCCCCGCTGTCTCCCCGTGCATGGTTGCTCTGCTCTTCTCACAGCCCCTGGGGATTCATCTAGCGTAGAGTGCCTGGGGACATGTCCCCGGGATGGGACTCTGGCAGGGTCCCCGTGTCCAGCTCCTCATGCGCCAGGTCCTGCGTGCAGACGGGGCTTTCCTAAGAGCCTGCGGAAAGTCTGAGGCGTCCGTCCACCCTCTGCCAGCCATGGGGCCCCTGCCTGCATGGAGCCATCCCGGAAACCTGTCAAGGCAACTGAGGAAAGGCCACTTCAGACAGTTTATCCTAGAAGGGGGTGAGGAGGATGCTCCTGGTTAACCCCTCTGAGCTGCTTCCCCTTTGAGCAGCAGTGCCCAAGAGTGAGTTTCCCCTCCCTGGGCCACACCGACCCTGTACCCCCCTGCTCTGTGGAATGGGGATGGAGATCAGGGATCTCCAGGCCTGGGGTGGGCTTTGCACCACCCTGCCTGAAGCCCCAGGGCAGGGTGCCAAGCACTACTGGACACACCACCCCTGGGGGTCCCACATCCCCAGATGGCAGGGCAGCAGGATGGGGTCACGGGAGGGAGGGCTGACCAGCAGAGCTGGCACTGTGCTGGCCCAGTCCCCTGGGGTCCCCCGCGCTGGCGTGGGCATCCCCCTGCCCCATCTGCACCCAGGCCAAGGGCTGGCGTGCCACCCTGCTGGCACTCGTGGGGCAGGCAGGGCACACGTGCAGGGCTCGGGGATGCGCAGGGTGCTCTCGGAGCAGGGCCAGGAGGAGGAAGGATGCTGTCTGTTTTTCCATCTTCTCCCCTCCATACCCCACAACCCCCCCCTTCCTTCCATCCTCCCCCTCCTTGCGCTGGGATGAAACAAACCCATCTGGAAATACCTTCCCTTTTAAAGGCAGGCTCCGCCGGGCAGCGTGCACCCTCCGGGAAGCTGCTGCGTTACGCGGTGACTAGGCAGCCTGGAGAGGGTCAAGGGATGGGGAATTTGGAGAGGAAGAAGGGATGTGGGGCATCAAGCCTCTGCCCACCTGCATGGCTGTGGGGCTCAAAACTTTGCTGTCCCCTCAGGTGTCAGGGAGCAGCCAGGTGGGAGGCAGGAGTGCTTCCCGGCTCCGGGGCAGTCGAGGATGCTGCAATCACCAAGACCAAGCATTTTCCATGCCAGTGCTGCCATGAGCGAGCCCTGGCCTCGTTTGGCATCTGCCTTGCAGACAGGGTTGGGGGTCCAGGAGGTGTGGGGCCGGGCAGGGCTGAGTGCTGCTCCTGCTGCTGAGTCACCCGGTGCCCAGTGGCACGGCGGTCCCCTCCACCAGGGCCTCCAGGGACAGAGGCGCTGGGGCTGTGCCAGATGATGTCAGCCAAAACAGCCTGGCTTGGGCAGGGCTGGGGGTAACCAGGTGTGCTGGGGGGACTGGGGAGGAGGGGGTGCTGCCCAGGCAAGGGGCAACCCCCCGAGGGGTTCAGCCAGCACAGCCCCCCTCCCTCAGGATGTCCTCTCTATCTGGCATGGGTTTGTGGATTGCCCCAGGGGTCCCTGCCCTGGCCCATGGAAGGTGGGAAGCGATGGTGGAGGTACTGGGGTGAACTGGGGTGTTCCCCATTCTGGGAAGATTTGGGGGGCTGGGCTGAGCTTTCAGCTCCCCAAAGTGGTGTCAGGCCAAGAGGAAGGCTGAGCAGATAGTCAGAGCCTGCAGTGCTTCAGGATGACCTTGGGACCTTGTCTTGCTCTCGAGGTGACAGGGACCAGAGAGGGGTTGGGGCTGCTCCGGGCAGGGTCCCTGTCCAGTCATGGTCCCCACACGCCTGGCACAAGAAGGGTTAACGGGGTGCCTCCCCCAGCTATAAATACCACGTATGTCCCACGCGTATGAGCTCGGGAGGCTATTTTGGTTGGGTGCCTGCTGCTTCGGGAATGTGCCGGAGTGAGGACCTGGGGGGTGACGTCACCGTCACTGGTCCCGCTTCAGACCCAGCACCTGCTCGGGGTCACTCAGCAGCACCCCAAAAGTGCCCAGCCCTGGGCTGGTACTCAGCCCCCCCATATCAGAAAGGGGGGGTTTGGGCAGTGGGGCAGCACAAGCACACTCAGGACAGGGATCCCCCCCACATCAACCCCTCCCCAGGGCCCTCACTTGTCCCCTCTCTGGGTGGGGGTGCTGGATTCCGGCCCCACATGGAGAGTTGAGCCTGGTGCTCTTGCCGTGGGGTGGGCCAGGGTATCATCAGGGGCATTTTGGGGTGCTCAAGGCCAATGTGGGGGCTGTGGGGTCTGGCTCAAGGGGTTCAAGTGACGGTGTGAAGGGCTGAGTCCCCTTCTTTCCCCCCCTAGCGTCACCCCAGGCCGTCTGTCTGTCTGGGCCCCTGATGGGGGTCTGGGCAGTGCTGGGGGGCTCACCACCAGCCTGCCCACCCTTCCTCCCCTCGCCCCCCCAGGGATGAGGCAACACAGTGGGGGGCAGGGGGGACCCTGATACTTTGGCAGAGTTTGTGGGTGCCCGGGGGGGCCCATGGGCATCGTCATCATCTGTGGCGTGGGCAGGTGAGGGGTGGTGGGCGGGGGCTGGTGGCCGTCGGCGTCCCCCCCCCGCAGCAGCATCCCCCAGCTGCCTGGCAGCAGGAGGGGCGGTGATGTCAGCAGAATACAAATAGCGGCGGCGCGGGTCCCCTCCCGAAGTCTCTCCGAGCCGCCAGCTGCTCGCCAGTCCCCTGCCGCCTGCTCCCTGCTCCGGCCTCGCCGCCCCACGCCGCCGCCACTGCCGCCACCATGAGCCAGTCCTACTCCTCCAGCCAGCGGGTCTCTTCCTACCGCCGCACCTTCGGCGGGGGGTCCCCGGTCTTCTCCCGCGCCTCCTTCGGGGGCAAGGGCAGCAGCGGCAGCTCCGTCACCTCCCGTGTCTACCAGGTGTCCCGCACCTCGGCCGTCCCCAGCCTGTCCAGCTTCCGCACCACCCGCGTGACGCCCCTGCGCTCCTACCAAAGCGCCTACCAAGGTGCCGGCGAGCTGCTGGACTTCAGCCTGGCCGATGCCATGAACCAGGAGTTCCTCCAGACCCGCACCAACGAGAAGGTGGAGCTGCAGGAGCTCAATGACCGCTTCGCCAACTACATCGAGAAGGTGCGCTTCTTGGAGCAGCAGAATGCCCTGATGGTGGCCGAGGTGAACCGCCTGCGGGGCAAGGAGCCCACCCGCGTGGCAGAGATGTACGAGGAGGAGCTGCGGGAGCTCCGTCGCCAGATAGACGTGCTCACTAGCCAGCGGGCTCGTGTTGAGGTCGAGCGCGACAACCTGCTTGATGACCTGCAGAAGCTCAAGCAGAGGTGAGTTGGGGGCCCTGGTGTGTCCCTGTGGGCATCCATCCGTGCATCTCCATTCCTAGGGATGAGCGGTGGCAGAGCTCACCCTGGCAGCCCCTTGGGTGCTCATTGCCCTCCTTGTGCCCTATGGTCATATCCCATCATGGCCCCGCTAGCCTGTCCCCCTTGCCTCGTCCCCCAGGGTGGGAGAGCACCATGGCTGTACCTCTTGCTGGCTGCCCCCACCTGCAAGGCACTTTGCAGTGTACCAGGCCCTGGTATGGTGGCTCTGAGTTGTGGGAGAGAGAAGGGCACCTTCCAGTGCTGGGTGCTACCTGGCCCATGGTGTGCTTGGGATCCTGACCCCACTGTGTGGGGTAGGAGAGCTGGTCCCAGCCCAGCCATCTCAGCAGGGCACTCCGGATGGCCACTGCCAGCCCTTGCCAGGCACCCAGGCAGCACCCAGAGGGTAGGACGGCTCTGGCAGGCAGGAGTGTCCCCCATGCCCTCCCTTCCAGTGGGGC